TATACCACAACAATATACCACAACAATATACCACAATAATATACCACAACAATATACCACAATAATATACCACAACAATATACCACAAGAATATACCACAACAATATACCACAAGAATATACCACAACAATATACCACAACAATATACCACAATAATATACCACAATAATATACCACAATAATATACCACAATAATATACCACAACAATATACCACAAGAATATACCACAACAATATACCACAATAATATACCACAATAATATACCACAATAATATACCACAATAATATACCACAATAATATACCACAAAACAATAAAAAACACAAGTTTCTGCTCTTCTTCAGATTCTTGAAAGTGATATATTGAACAAATTAGAATCTCACTACGCTTTGTGAATGGCTGAGTTACCCTCACTAAGACGGGTGGAGGAAGTGCTGAGAACACTGAAGATACTGAGGTCTCAGCACTGAGGAAGTGCTGAGGAGACTGAGGAGTGTTGGAGTTCCTGCAACACTCAGTGTTCGTGCTAGGCAGGTAAGAGCAACAGGCAGCCCTTAAGCCATGCAGGCCCCATCACCCCCGACCAGCGAGAGGAAGAGAGTTTGGTCCGTTCAACCGTGTTGATTTTTCTTCACCGTCGTCGCCTTCATCTGTAACCCTGTAAAGAACAGTTGGCCCAGCACCTCAACCCACAACACGAATTGAAATGCACTTAGACCCACGCTAGTTAAGAGGTGAGGAAATTATTTTAACTCGTGTTAGCTAAGTTGTGAGTCGAACAATTTTTTTTTTACTTAAGTTAGCTAAGTCATCAGATGAAGTTACTTTAACTCATACTAGCTAAGTTATCAACTGAGAACATATTCTTGACTCACAGAAACTGTCCATCCTAGTATTCATAACACTATTTTAAGATCTTTCTTGATTTATTGATTTTGTGTCGAATTATCATTAATTTTACCACACGTAAGACTTGTTCATGCAACTACCACACTACATATCTCGCCACGATTCTAAAAAATGGACGAAACTAATGCAGTAGGACCAGACAACGCCTTATCGAGGCTGCTAAAAGCAGCAGCACAGGCCCTCAGCGTACCACTAACACTAGTCTCTAAAAGTCACTTACAAAGGGAGAATTGCCCATCCGCTAGAAAAAAGCAGATGTGAAACCAATTTTCTACAAAGGGGATAGAGAAGGGTCACAACTACAGTCCAGAATCACTGACAAACTTCCCCCTGGCAGAGTACTAGAAGTAATAATCAGGATAAGACTAATTATACACAGAGAGAATTAGGCATGTAAACAAGCACCAACATGGGTTTTAGGGAAGGGTAATCGAGTCTAACGAACCTACTGGAGAGCTGTAACAGGGTAAGGGAAAAATAAGGCAGGACAGAGAAGGTTGGGCCGATTGCTTATTTCGGGACTGGCAAGAAGTATTTGATACAGTACCTCACAAGAGATTACAACACAAACGTGAGAAACAGACGCCAGTATGCGCAAAAAAACAGTAACGTGGAGTTAGTGACTAACAGTAAAGGGGGGGGGGCGAGACGTCGGACTGACGTAGCGTAACAAACGAAGTACCTCAAGGATGCGCACTATGTCTCACTTATGTCAATGACCTATGTAAAGGAGTAGAGTCTTATATGTCGATGTTTGAAGACGATGCATAATTAATGAAAAGAGTTTGCGACAGATGAGGATTGAAAGATTCCCCAAGATTACTTCAATAAGTTGCAGGGTTGGTCTGAGAAATGGCTACTCGAGTTTAACATGAGCGATTGTAATGTGATGGAAATGAGAACGGGTGACAGTAGACCAAAAAGACAGTACACAAAGAAATATTGCTTACCTGTAACGACTAAGGAAAAAGACTTGAGGAGTGGACCAAACATCAAACCTTACTCATATAGGGTAACATCAGCAGCATACGCTACACTAGCAAAAATCGTATAATTTAAGACCTGAAATAAGAAAGAATTTAGATCTTGTACACCGCCTAAGTGAGACCAGTTTTACGGTATTTATGGGGGTCCCATGGTGGAGCCTCCCATGGTGGAACTCCCGTTAAGAGAGATTATCCTAGAGGAAAGATTATCAGATATAGAGGTGATAGCAGAGGAGGTAATGAAACAGTTGATAACACTGAATGCAACTAAAGTAGTTGGACCAGACAAAGTATCACCGTGGATACTAAAAGAGGCAGCGCAGGCCCTCAGCGTGCCTCTGGCAATGATCTTTAATGAGTCACTTGTGACGGGAGAATTGCCCAGTTGCTGGAAGAAGGCAAGGGTGGTACCAATCTTCAAGAAAGGGCATACAGAGGAGGCATTTAACTATAGACCTGTATCACTGACAAGCATCCCTTGTAAAATACTTGAAAGAATAATAAGGCTAAGATTTGTTGCACACCTAGAGAACATTAGTTTTATAAACATCAACACGGGTTCAGGGAAGGGAAATCATGCCAAACAAACCTCCTGGAATTCTATGATAAAACAATAGGGATAAGGCAGGACAGAAAAGGTTGGGCAGACTGCATATTTCTGGACTGCCAAAAAGCCTTTGATTACAGTACCGCACATGAGACTTATTCAAACTTTTTATGTAGACTAAAGTGTGGAAGTAGCCATTCGACTCTAATACAGTTATATCCAAGAAAGGCTTTATTTTCCCTCTCCAACTGCTAAGTCTTAGCAAAGTCTCTCTCTCTAGCAGTAACAAGCTTTCCCCTGTCAAGTAACTACCAGAACAATTCTAACATACCTGCAGTATAAAGTACAATTAGCCTGGGCCAACTTATCACCTTAGCTGATAAGCTAAGACATATCAGCTGAAGAACGTTTCACGTTGAAAGATTAATACATTGACAAGATAACAAACACACTGTAAATAATAATAGGAACCCAATGTGATTAAGTAGAGTTAGGAGCAGACTCTTCAGAGAGAATTATACCGACTTTTGAAGAATCAAATAAATGACATTCTTGGTAATCAATGTTATGGAAACATCTCGAGATGCTAAAATATTGGCGAACAGTCTCAGCAATGACTGCATTGTGACTACAGTTATATGATGAACCACAGACGGGAAGTTGAGGTGTGTGTGACAATGGAGGACAGTATCAATGTTTTTTATTATTATTATTTTTAGCACATTTAGGTACGGCATTTGTGCAGCTAACCTAGACTATATAAATGGGAGTACAGTGTGTCAAAAAGCTAGCAACGTGATGCTAAATTCTCCTTCACACAGGATGGTTAGTCATACAGAGGCACGTCATAAGTAGTCTGCACTGCCAGAGCCAGACTCTGGTTGCATTATAAGGATATCATCAACACAAGAGTGAATAAGGCAGCAGTGATACTTTAAGTCCCCAATCTCGCAGGATGATTAGTCATAGAGGACTATATGTTTAGTAGCCTGCACTGGCAAATTTTGGGTGCAATATGAAGATATCTTCAAGAACACCTTCAACAACACGAGAGTGAATAAAGTAATTGCAAAGCTCCAGGTACCTCATGCCAACGGGTCTGAATGGTCTTTTTTTTTTATTAATACATGATGTACATCTGCATTAGTGCAGCTACCCTAGACTATATGAAGTGGAGTACAGTGTGTCAAAAAAGATAACTACGTGATGCTATAACATCCCCATCACACAGGATGGTTAGTCATACAGAGGCATGTGATAAGCAGTCTGCACTGGCAGACTCCGAGTGCATTTTGAGGATATCATCAACACAAGATTGAATAAGGTAGCAGTGGTAATACAAGTCCCCATCTGGCAGGATGATTAGTCATAGAGGGCCATATGTTTAATAGCCTGCACTGGCAAACTTTGGGTACACTGTGAGGATATCTTCAAGAATACGAGAGTGAGTAAAGGTCTAATAACTGGAAACACCAAACACTCTACGGTTACGTAACCCGCGTTTCACTTACTCAGGCAAGAGGAACTCACTCCAGATGGAAGATTATTTTCTCGAGATTATCTTGAGATGATTTCGGGGCTTTAGTGTCCCCGCGGCCCGGTCCTCGACCAGGCCTCCACCCCCAGGAAGCAGCCCGTGACAGCTGACTAACACCCAGGTACCTATTTTACTGCTAGGTAACAAGGGCATAGGGTGAAAGAAACTCTGCCCATTGTTTCTCGCCGGCGCCCGGGATCAAACCCGGGACCACAGGATCACAAGTCCAGCGTGCTGTCCCCTCGGCCGACCGGCTCCCACAACTGGTGATGGTGGTGGTCACAACTGCTATAAAGAGGCTCGCTGGAGAGTATCTGTGACGGTATCTGTATCAGAGTATCTGTTAACTTATCCCCGTGCTTGTATTCTTCTGAGATAAAAGAGCCCAATTCTTGCGATAGAAGCGAGAATTTATAATACCGTGAGGAAGATGTGTCAATGTCCTAGTTTGAGTTGATAGACAATTCAACAGAGGCCTAATCCGTATGACTTATTAATTAATTAATAAGGATTAGTTAATAATTAGCAGGTATTAACAAATAACTTAATAATTAATAAGGATTACTTAATATTAATTATTAAAATTCATTAGATATTAATTAATAATAAGTATTAATAAGTATTATTAATATTGTATAATTAATAAGCTGAGGGAGTAGTATAGCATACAGACCACACACACGGGGCTCAGAACAAAGGAATGATGACCACAACAAAAAAGTTTTCATACAAACAAACAAACAAACAAATCTTACAATAATCTAACAAGAGAGAACTACCCCAAATACTGACAACGTCTATGGCGGGGATATCATGATAAGGATTGTGGTAATTATCAGAAGAAATCGCTACGCTAATAAGACTTAGATATTCCAATCACCTGGGCACTAGGAGACTCGAACCCTTGACCCCAACGGGTGAGAGGCCGAGCTCTATCGACGTATTTTATTTGGTGAGACTACACAGATGTGTGTAGCCGAGACCAAGGGGGGACTGGCAATTATTACCACCATCTACAGCAATGGTTCCCAACCCGCCGTCCGCCGGCCCACCCGCCGTCCGCCCGCCGGCCCACCCGCCGTCCGCCCGCCGGCCCACCCGCCGTCCGCCCGCCGGCCCACCCGCCGTCCGCCCGCCGGCCCACCCGCCGTCCGCCCGCCGGCCCACCCGCCGTCCGCCCGCCGGCCCACCCGCCGTCCGCCCGCCGGCCCACCCGCCGTCCGCCCGCCGGCCCACCCGCCGTCCGCCGGCCCACCCGCCGTCCGCCCGCCGGCCCACCCGCCGTCCGCCCGCCGGCCCACCCGCCGTCCGCCGGCCCACCTGCCGTCCGCGAGTTATGTTCACAATTTCAAGAGACGCGGCATAAAAGTATTATTACTCACGATAAGGTTGCTAACGATAAGCGTTCAGAATTTCACGTTTCTTTGTTCTTGGTTGCAACATAGTCAACTTTGTATGGCAACACTGGTTGACTCGTGTTCATCACAAGTTCTACTTGGCACACGCTGATCTGACTAATCCACACCACTATTCAATTAAGCAGGATTTCTCCCAGCTGTTTTATATCAAATCAAAATCCAGAAACTGGATTTGGAACTGGATAGATATAGTCAAATTAACGCCCCATTATTCAACTCACTCATCAGTGAGTGCGTGTGTATTCACCTAGTCGTATTCATCTTGTTGAGCTTGCGGGGGTTGAGCTCTGCTTTTTCGGCCCGCCTCTCAACTGTCAATCAATAAACTGTTACTATTTTTTTCACCCCCCCCCCCAGGAAGCAGTCTGTAACAGCTGTCTGACCCTATGTACGGCTTGGTATCAGGGGCATCAGGGTGAAAGGAACACTGCCCATTTGTTTCTGCCATCGCCGGGGATCGAACCCTGGCCCTTATGACTACGACCCCCCAAGCGCTGTCCACTCAGCTGCGAGGCCGTGTGAGTGTCACCTGGTTGTACTAACCTAGTTGTGCTTACTGGGGTTAAGCTCTGGCTCTTTGGTCCCGCCTCTCAACTGTCAATCAACTGGTGTAAGATTCCTGAGCTAACGTGTAACCTGCATCTCCAGCTTATGCACTATTATATTGTGTGGTACTGTGTCAAAGGCTTTCTGGTAATCCAAAAATATGCAGTCTGCCCACCCTTCTTTCTTGCCTGATTTTTGTTGCCTGGTCGTAGAATTCAAAAAATCCTGAGGCAGGACTTGCCAACCCTGAACCCATGTTGATGCTGTGTTACAAAGTTCTTCCATTCCAGATGTGCCACAAGTTTTATTCGCACAATCTTCTCCAACAACTTGCATGGTATGCAAGTTAGGGACTCCTCTAATGGCGCCTGGTTAACTATTCCCTCTCTTATCTCTGGAACTTCTCCTTGCTCTAATGTGAAGACCTCCTGGAATTTCTTATTCAGTTCTTTGCACACTTCCTTGTCGTTTGTAGTGAATTTGCCTACCCCCATATCCTCAACTTCATTACCTGTTTCTTCACTGTTTTCCCTCCTGATGTGGCTATGCAGCAATTTTCCCCTAAATTGTCAAAGAAAAAGCCCCTTCATGAGGAAGTTTCTAATACATTTGGCTTGGGGACCATTTAGGCATATCGTACATATGATGCTCGCGTCTTCCTCGCAGTGAATTGATTTTATAAAAATTACCTGTGCCCACTGGCCACCGAGTGCTGTCGGGTGTTGGGTAAATAGCCTCACGACTACCAACGTTTTTGTACAGTCAGTCGTGGTCCAGTGGTTATGGTACTGGATATGCTAACGTGTTAGCGCATATATATATATATATATATATATATATATATATATATATATATATATATATATATATATATATATATATATATATATATATATATATGTACCTAGTAGCCAGAACGCACTTCTCGGCCTACTATGCAAGGCCCGATTTGCCTAATAAGCCAAGTTTTCAAGAATTGTTTTTCGACTACCTAACCTACCTAACCTAACCTAACTTTTTCGGCTACCTAACCTAACCTAACTTATAAAGATAGGTTAGGTAGGATTGGTTAGGTTCGGTCATATATCTACGTTAATTTTAACTCCAATAAAAAAAATTGACCTCTTACATAAAGAAATGGGTAGCTTTATCATTTCATAAGAAAAAAATATTGAGAAAATATATTAATTTAGGAAAACTTGGCTTATTAGGCAAATCGGGCCTTGCATAGCAGGCCGAGTACGACGTTCTGGCTACTAGGTACAACATTATATATATATATATATATATATATATGCGAACAAGCTTGAATGGTCCCAAAACATATATGCACATGAAAACTCCGGAGGTTAAGGTGAAACGCCATGCAACCTCTGAAGAGTCAACTAACACAACACCTGTACCCCCTATTAGACTGTTTTACAGGAACTTCTTTACGACAGCTCATAAAATGGAGGAAAGGGTTCTGAAAGACATTATTGATAGAAACGTTATTCCTACAGACGAAAATCAGAAAATACAATTGACAATCTACTATAAAAACAAAAAAAACGGCCAACGAACTCATGAAATACTCCCCAGACACCAAACAGAACGCCCTGAAGGAAACCAATGTCGTCTATGCCTTCACATGCCCGCTTGGGGACTGTAAGCCCCAAAGAACTCAGTTTATAGACAAGACAACAACGTCTCTTTCTAGGCAATTAAGTATGCACAAACAACAGGGCTCCATCAAGGAACATATAATCTCTTTTCACAACCAGACCATCACCAGAGAAATCTTAACAAACAACATAGAAATCATCGATAAATACAGCGATAGCAGGAGACTCGACATCAGCGAGGCACTACACATCAAAATGTCATCACCAGCAATCAACAGCCAATTAATGCACAACTATATTTTACTCACTTCAAGACCCCGAACTAATATAGAAACATCAAGAGGAGGTATGGGCCTATAGGCCTTCTGCAGTTACTTCCATTCTTATGTTCGTGTTCCATCATGTACAAATGTCAATCACCTCACCCAAAATTTTTGTACCATATCACCTCACCCAAAGCGAGTATAAGTATGTATAAGTATATGTGTGTGTTTACAGGTTACAGTTGTGTGTGTAAACTAAAATCTTTGAAAATGTAATAAGTTATCACGAAACGCATTCAGGCGTTAGACTAGAAAAAAAATGAATTTTAGAGAATTGATGTTTCAATTAACATCGACAGTGAAGAGAAACATAAGAAAGAGAAAATTCGTGATAGAATTATTAATCTTACCTATTCGGTCATATCAACAACATATGTTTACAAGAAAGACTGCTACCAAAA